AACTTTTGAATGGGTAAGTGCTGAACCAGTAAGAAGTCTGAATCATTAAGTGCTGAACCAGTAAGAGGTATAAACCATTAAGAGCTAGTATATTGCTTAACTATTCAGAGGCAAATGTCTGATCAATTCAGATAACAGCTCTTAACCATTCAGACTCTGTATAATACTTAACCATTCAGAGGCAAATCTCTTAACCATTCAGACATCTGAACCATTAAGAGGCTGAAACAAACAGTCTGAATCATTAAGTGCTGAATCATTCAGACATCTGAACCATTAAGAGGCTGAAACAAACAGCTCCTTAGTCTTTCCTTTCATTAAAGTTGTTTTACACCATCTCTCATTCTGTCCCAAAATGGAAGCATAATTCAAACAACGTGCAATATTTTACTCCTTCCGTTCTTAAATATTTGTCACATTTGTATTTCCAAGGCAAAATATCAAGTTTTTTCAATTTATTTTATTTACATATTGGTATAGAAATAAAAAATAAAATTTACATATCAAGAAAACTACATGAAAAGTTCTTCGAAATAATATGTGTCAAAAATATTTTATTTTATCAAATAACCAATGAAAACGTAGAAATAAACAAAAGTTCCTGCGACTGCTGAAAAAGCAAACGTTGCAAATAATTTGTAAAATTTTTTTAATTAAAAATGGTATAGAAAATAAAAAGTCTCAATTACACCGTTTTAAAAATATCAAACAAATCTACAAAATAAAAAATGATAAGATTATTTTATTTTATCAAATGATCAATGAAAACATACAAACAAGTAAAAGTTATCGAAATACAATAATAGTAACTATTAGGAATAATAATGAAAATAAAAAAAGAATATTATTATTATAGTGAATTCTCAAAAATATCCTTTCTAATAAAGTGTTTTTTCAAATTAGTTTTCAATAAGTAATACTCCGTAATTACCAACATAGTCTTTTAATTTATTATTGAGACTTTTTTTCCCTAAATAGTCCTATATCAAAAATACATATTAAATGAATGTTATATGGAAGCTATTTTGGTGTTTTCCACATAGTAAATACCGAGTAATATTTTAGTAGTCATTTTGATATAAAAGATAAGGAGTAATGAAGAAATTGTGTATTGGACCCACAAAATTGATTTGGAAGAGAAAAATTGGAGTAGTCCTCCCTTTACTCCACCACCCAATGTGGGTTCTCTACTTCTCTTAGAGATTGTGAGCTTGAAAAAATATTTAATTTCAAACAAGTATTTCAAGAATATATTTTAAGTCTCGATAATAGAAATATTAAAATACTTTATATTTGATTGATATTTAATAGATATTTTGGATAGAGGACCGTTTAGAAAATAAATATAAATTATAAATGATCTCACATGTAATTGTTGCTTATTGAAGTTTAATTTGGAAAAATATTTTATTAAAAATTTGAGAATTCACACCTATTATTATTATTATTATTATTATTATTATTATCTACTTTTTAATTATTCTATTGTTACCATAATTACTTATTTTACTGTGATTAGGATTCTTATTATATTCTGTATATATTGATACAATCATTATTATTTAATAAGAACTATTATTATCAAACTGTATCATGCTATGAGAGTTAAAATATCTCTTGTAAAAAACCTAGCCTCCTTATTCGACAATCGCGCACCACCACTGGGTTTATGATTGACGGTTAACAATCACAAATTATAGTTTCGCTATCCCTCATCCCTATCTTTCTCTCCAAAAAAAATTATGAGCATGTTTAACGGTCGCCATTCTTGATGCCTCTAAAAACAAAAAAAAATTGCGTGCTTGATCGAAAAATTCGAAAGTAGTATTTGTCTACATTTCTTCTAAAGTTCATGAATACGAAAAGTGATGAAGAAGCAGAGAACAATATACAAGGAGAAAAAAAGAAATTATTTGCCCCTGCTCAAGTCGCAAACACTCTCACTGGGAAAAAACTTAGCAAATACTCTCAAACTAGTTCTCCATTCAACAAAAATCCACATCTCTACTTCTAGCAACTATCTCTAAATTGCTTTCGTCGGCTATATTCCAGTATTTGTGCTCCAAGTTTCTTCTCGTTACCGATGACCAACTTGCAAGATCCACTATAAAATATATTCTTATGTACTCCCATCATCTCGTGTTTCCATGATCTTAAAGTCCACATGTGGAATACATCTTTTCACATTTTACATAGATTGATTTGAGATTTTTATTTTATTTTTCAAAGAGTCCATTTCGTCCATGTTATATATATATATATTGATGGTGTAAATATAGCGGGGTGGGTTAACCGGGTTTGACCTGGACACACTCGACCCGTAATATAAAACACACAACAAGAACACAAAGTATGACCTAGACCGGGTAAATCTTCTCAGTCCGAATTATATTTCTTACTCTATCTCAAGAGTGAACTTTAGTGAGAGAAAAATTGGATCCCCTCCTCTATCCAATATCATCATATTTATAGAGGAGGATTTGTGACCTTCCCCTGTTCATCCATGGACAAAATAGGAAGCTCGTGGGAAGGTCACTGTAGATAATGGAAACACTGTACAATCATAGAATTTAGCAACTATAGGCCAAGACATGTACTGTTCAATCAAAGACTAAAATGGATTAAGAGTTAGGTTAGTTGGGACGTTTTACTGTTTGTAGGGAAAGTGACACACGGAGCACTACCTACTCGCCGCCCCACAGGGGAACTGGAGACTGCACCAAGTGGTACGGATTCTCTGACTTGGTTTGTTAGCCAAGTAAAGTGATATGACCGGTCACCTTCTCTCAAAAGTTACCCGGTCATTCTTTGTGCTCAACCCATCTCTGGTTTTCTAGAATGTCCTTTGTAACATTAGGCGACATTTTGGCTATCGCCAAAAATGTGACCGGTCACTTTTTTAGTGGAAGTGACCGGTCAACTTTTGACCCGTCCCAATCGAAAAGTTAACCTCATTTGGTGATTGATAAAAGTAACCGGTCATTTTTTGACCTGTCCCTTTCGGTTGTCCGGGTCGGGTATAAGGATATACCCATCATATATATGTGTGTGTGTGTGTTCGTTATTATTTATGATAATAATAATAATACTATCATTCTAATTATGGAACAAAAATATAATCAAAATAATAATATTATAAAAATAATAATATAAAAGAGACAATATTTCCATATATATACATTTATTATTATTCAATATAATAGAGACAACATGTCTATATATACGTTCATTAATATTCATTAAAATAATAGTATTATGAAACACAAATATAATGGGACGTAAATAATATTTTACTTTAAAAGTGATTTAATATGGAATGAAAATATAATAGGACGAGAATAATATTTTACTTAGAAATGATACAAATATGGAAAAAATGTAGTAATGTATACTTCATTTATTCATATAAATAAATAAAAATACTCTATAGTTAATAGAGACAACATTTCCATGTATATACTTTATGTAATATAAATTTCAGTTTTAAAATTATACAAATATATAAATATGAACTTATAAGGGGGTATAAATAATATGTATTCATATAAATAAATAAAAAAAATAGTTAAGGTAACGAGAATATAAAGTGGGGTAAAAATAATAAAATATAATTTTATATTACGTTTCCTTTTCATTTCTCCTTTATGATATTCAATGCAAATGGTGTTCCCACAAATTGCACGAGTAATGTATTTAATAAATAAGCGTTCCAAACTTGTACTTAACTTGATATTAATGCTTTAAAATAATAATAAACTTTATATTTCATTACATGTCCTCTCTTTTATTTTAACACTGACACCAATAAATTTTCATACCTAAATAGGAGCCGTGTAACACACACGTGTGATACTAGTATTTTTTAAAACGGATGAAAAATGAAATCTGGGAAAAATTTCTGGATAATACAATTGGGCTTATACAATACTAAGATTGGGCCAGTGGTAGCTCCACATTCCACATTTGGGCTCACCCAAGCTCTGCAACTATTGCTACTACTGCGAGTCTTCTTCTTCCTTCGCCATCTTTGCCGTTCTTCATTGTACATACAAACCTCAGCCTCTGGTATTTTACTTTTTCTCTGAGCTTCATCTTCATCTTCGCTGCTTAAACTTTATCGAAGTGTTTTCAAACGAAAATTACGTCTTGGTTCAGTTATACAGATACGAAACGCAGTTATTATAAGTTTTTTGCTCTTCCATTAATGCATTTTTAGATGGTTCAAATTCGAAATCTGATAAACTACTCTGCAGATCTTGTATTCGACCAACTGTTTACGAAAATGCCTGTGGATTTTCACGTTTCGGATCAGCATTTGCTTTGTTTTTTTTTTCATTTTTGAGATTTTATGTTATTTAATATAATCTAGACTGATTGGAATGTACTACTGTCTTAAAATAAGTTATTTCAGCTCAATATATTTGAAAATTGGTGGAAAATTTTAAAATGATTTAGATATTTATAAACTGGAGTACATAAAAAGGTCTACAAAATAAGCAGTGATTTGACTGTTTTAGTTTTTAAACACTCAATGAAAAATGTGTGAAGAAAGAAGATATGGTTTGACCAAATAGTTAATGGTAACCTTGTTTTGGGATGGATGGAGTATATGTTTTGGTTTTAATTCTTATATGTGCTTGTCACTTGTCAATTTGTTTTTGAAAATATTAGGAGGATCTTATGCATTAAAATGTCATTAGTTTTTTATATTAGCTATCAGGAATCATCATTTTTGCCAGATATTCTATTGCTCAGGCAAAATATTAAATCGGATTATAAAGAAATTTACAGACACTCTGGTTAGCAAGAAATTGAAAGGCCTCAAATACCCTTGCTACCAGCAAGTCTATACATTTTCCTCAGTCAGTTTTGAACTTTTGACTGGAAAGTTGACAAAGCAAACTGCATTGTTATATATGAGTAGATATAACCCCTCCTTCGAAGGGAATTGATTTGCCTCTTTTAGGAATATGCACACCTCATACTTTTAGTGTGCCATACATGATAAGATTAATATCTTAGTAAATGCATCTGTTTTCAATATGTTGTACACCTGTACTGCTGTAAGTAAATCAATTTCTTACATTTGGTTTCCCCCCTTAATCGGCTGTTGTTTACCTTGTCTCATTTGGCCCTTTGTTTTCAGACTATCGGTTATAATTTCGATCACTTCCCACATGGATCAGGTAAATTGCTTCACATCGATCCATCCTTTGTTGTTTCTCATTTATTTCACATATCCTTTACATGAAATTTGGGGATAATACAGTATGAAAAGGTTGAAAAGATTGGCGAAGGGACATATGGTGTAGTATATAAGGCTCGTGATCGTGTGACAAATGAAACTATTGCACTGAAGAAGATCCGGCTGGAACAGGAAGACGAGGGAGTTCCTAGTACAGCTATCAGAGAAATATCCCTTTTAAAAGAGATGCAACATGGAAACATTGTCAGGTACATATCATGACACATTCTTGGAGTCAATGATCTGATACAATGTCAGCTATTCCTTATTATTTTGATACAAAAAATTCATGGTATAGTGCATGGGAGGGTAGATTGATTCAGGCTTAATCATAGTCACTGGTCTTACACAATGCACTATGAGTATCAATTTTCCTGTTGTTTCTTGTACTCTTTCTTCTTTGGGTTGTTGTCATTGATGTTAGAGATAAAACACCCAATCACTTGTTTTTTTTTTGGGGGGGGGGGGATGGGGGAGGGGGTGCAAATGTACAATACAAGGCAGTGCAACACTGGTAAACACATTTTCAGTTATTAAAACATGAGAGAACTCATTGGAGACGTTCTAGATGATGTTTTTTTTACTTGGTATATATGGGACAATTTGTGGGTGAGGTGTATAGACACAGGCTCTTGGTTATTTAATCATCATGTGATGATATCCTTCTCATGTATCTATTCAAGGAATGCCATACCTTGCAACTATTTTGCTCTCAATTTGCTACAGTGTTCTTCTATTCAAATGTTCTGTGTAAAAGATCTTTGTTTATTTCTGTGCATCAATACCAAAACTCACATGTTGTGCTCTGACTGTATACACATGTGTATCTCAAAAAATTTAGTTTAATGATCTAGATTTTAGTGTTTATTTGATCTGAAATACCATAGTCATCATATAGTCTAATAGTGAATCAAAATTCCTATTTCTTGGATTCTTGACAAAATGCTCCCATTGAAATTACCTTTCCATTCCCCAACCATTTCTCTTTTTCGCTCTCCTATACCAGACCCTTTCGATGATCTTATTAATGTATGATGATAATAGGTTGCAAGATGTGGTCCACAGTGAGAAACGGTTATACCTGGTGTTTGAATACCTTGATTTGGATTTGAAGAAACACATGGATTCCTGCCCAGAATTCTCCAAGAATCCACGTATGATAAAAGTGAGTCATCTTTTTATGACACTTATGGAGGTTGTCGTGCAATGTGCTTTAAAGTAGGATGCATTTGTATTAGCTATCGAGTTCAGACGTTTCATAAGCTCTATTGTCAAACACTTGGAGTTTGCATATGAATATTTCTAAGTTTTGCTCACTGAAATGCTGTAAGAGATTTCATGAAGGTTGGTTTCTTTATCTTGAAAGGTTACTACAAAATTGCCCTTCTCTTTTGGGATGAAACTTGAAAGTTACAGTTAGCTTGCATAGATTAATTAAAGAATTGATTCACTGTCTATTTGTTGCCGAACTTGCTGTTTTTATGCTTGTTCATTTGTATCTTGCAGATGTTTTTGTATCAAATACTCCGTGGAATTGCTTATTGTCATTCTCATAGAGTCCTTCACAGAGATCTGAAGCCCCAAAACTTGTTGATAGATCAGCGTACAAATTCTTTGAAGCTCGCTGACTTTGGTTTGGCCAGAGCCTTTGGCATTCCTGTCAGGACTTTCACTCATGAAGTAGGTGGTCAAGACCTTTTTCATTTGCCACATGTTATGTTGTCTTCACTTAAACTACCACCGCCTCAAGGGAAAAATGAAGAAAGAAAAGAGAGTCCTATTTAAACCACTTATTTTGTCCCAAAGCAACCCCAATTGATCAAACAAAATTAATTTTAAGTGTATTTTGCCAAGAAGAGTCATTTTAGCTTTTGACACTTAACATCTGATTTTTCATTATTTCAGGTGGTAACATTATGGTACAGGGCACCAGAGATATTACTTGGTTCTCAGCATTATTCTACTCCTGTTGATGTATGGTCGGTTGGTTGCATTTTTGCTGAGATGGTGAACCAAAAACCACTTTTCCCAGGGGACTCAGAGATTGATGAACTCTTCAAGATTTTCAGGTGTCACATCTTCACCCTGAGATGGTCATTCATGCTGTTTTCTTTTTAAAAATGGTTTAACAAGCATTCTGGGCATGAAGATTTTGAAATCAGTTCATGTGAAAATCGATTTTGTCCTCTGCTTTAAAATATGCAAAAACTTGGTAGATCATGTTTTTTAATATACCTTTGATGCCATGTTTGCATGCTTGGAACTCAGAAAATGGCGGGGAAGGAAATTAATTATAATAAAATGCATTTACACAAATATCTAAAATCGATTTATTAGTTTTTGAACCAATTTTCTTATTTTCGCTCAAAATTTATTTTCTTCCGAATTTTTCATCTATTTTTCTTCTTATTTTCTCTCATCATTTTTTGTTCCAAATGGATCCCCACGGTTGGCTTGGGACCCGGATACTATCATGGAAAGAAAATATGATTTAAAACTGGTACAAAATTGGAGAGAGTTTGGGGGAAGATAAATGATGCATTCAAACTCGATAAATCTATTTTAAAGCTTTGTTCAAACTCATTTTCAAATTATATCTATTGTAAAAACATTAAGAAAAAAATTATGGAAAAGAATAAATCATGTTTTGTTTCTCTGCATTTTACAAAGTAAACCAAAACATAAGGAACTAAATTAGCACTTGTTTTAGTTCTCCTAGCATTTTCCGGCATCCAAACATACCCTAAGAGTTTACTTGAAGATTTTTCCTTAATCTGTTATGGAACCCGCAACACATTTTCACAGCATGGTGTCTTGGAAATTTGTTTTCTTTATGCTTTACTCCATATGTCATGATAATTTGCATCGATGCCACGAGTGTCCATTCTAAATTTAAATTTTTATGTATTTATTTATTTATTTATTGGTGAAGAGTGATGGGCACTCCTTATGAGGACACATGGCCTGGAGTTGCATCTTTGCCTGACTACAAAAGTTCATTCCCCAAATGGCCCCCAAAGGTCAGTGTTGGGTTCCCTTTTGGGATTGTATTTGGGATATATAAATATAGCTTCTTGCTTTTGTTTTAATTTTCTCAATATTTTATTCTATATATCTCGTATGTACTTTCCAGGATCTAGCGACTATCGTCCCAAATCTTGATGCATGTGGCATCGATCTCCTCCGTGTAAGTATACATTCATGATACATATTCAGCTATTATTCAAAGGGGGGCATTGTAAATTTGTTGAACCCTTTGTATCATTATATCTTGAAAATGCCATATCTTGAGAAGTTCAGTTTTAAAAGACTCTTTCTGTCCTAGTGGCGTAATTGTCTAAGTCAAACTGGACAAACTTCGATCATCAATTAAATAAAATTACATCACATCTTAATAGTAATATAATGGAATAATAATGTGATTTTTTTACTTGATAATGGTGTAGAAAAATGCAAGTTTTTTTTATTTCTTCACACTTCACTATAACCTCAGGGTCTGCTTAGAACAAAGGGTAAAAATAGGGCAATTGTTCATTTACTATAGATTAGGAGCATACAATTATATGAATTGCCCAACATACCCTTGAGGTATAAGAAACATTACTCCTACAAATTGTTTACATATATGAAAAGCACACACTCTCTAGAAGCTTGGAAAATTTTAGCAACAAAATCATGTAGTATTTCCATTTCCATTGAAGAGAAGCTTTTTTATGTGAACATTTGTGCTGGTTTTCAGAAAATGCTCAACCTGGACCCCAGCAAAAGAATCACAGCAAGGAATGCCCTTGAACACGGCTACTTCAAGGACATCGGTTTTGTCCCTTGAAAAAAGAAAAAACCCCTCTACACGTTCCCGTGTAAAGCGGAATTGGCAATGTACGTTAGTTTGTTCCTTTGTTTTGTGCGAGTGGCTCGAGGATTGCATTGCGTTGGGAGTTTGTTGTGTAAGAGTGTTACGGTCTTCGCTCAAAGATTTCGAAATGTGGTTTATCATCTTGAATATAATTAAGATTGATTATTTATTGCCAGATTCTTGTTCTCTACTCTGTTCAATTTTATGTCCTGAGAGAAGAAGATATTGCATCTCCTGTCTTTGTGTTGGTGATAATGTCCAAGTTATTTATTCCCTCCTAAAATTTCAGGTCATTATTTACATATTACGTACTCCCTCCGTCTTACAAAACATTTCTTGTTTTGAATTTTAAGGAATTTAAGAAAAATGTATTTTGGTGTTGATTTTCCAAAAATGTCCTTGGATGTGATATGTAAAGTAGATGTGATGGATAGATTAACAGTGAAAAAATATGAGTGATAGGTAGGTACAAAATTAATAGGGGTAAAAGTAACTTTTTAATAGAAATGAGAAACGTTTTTTGGGACGAATGAAAAAAGAAAAGAGAGATTTTGTAAGACGGAAGAAGTATTTTATAGTGAAATTTTATCACGTATGAATAATAATTAGCCAAATTTGATGAAGTTTGTCAGCAAAAGTCAAGCTGTTGCATTTGATTAAAAAATGTCTTTTATTTTTAAATTATATACGAAAAAGAAAGTTGCAAATAAGTTTTGAGACTACATATTTTTTGTTGAAATAAACTAGAATTAGGAAGGAAAAAGGATGTTAAAGAAACTAAAGGGCTTAATTTCGTTTAGTTGGAAATTTATGGATTTTTTTTTCACATCAAAACTTTTAAGTTATGTAGAAAAAGCAAAGAAAGACATGATTGAAATGGGAAGAAAATTGGAGGGAGCATTGGGGGACAAGGGTGGCATGATGGATGAATGATTTTTTCTTTCTTTTTTCCTTCAAAAAAAATGAAAGGAAAATTAATTTGTGACAATTAATTTACATTTTTCTCACTCATTTTTATCTTTTCTAATTAATCATAAAAATTAACTATCTTAAATCTTTTTTACCTCCTTTGTCCAAATTAAAGTTGCTTCTTTACTATTCACAAAATCAAATTTTAACCATATTCTTTAGGAAAAGAGTAAAATATGAATATAACATTGAAAATATACTAAAATACATTTTATTTAAGAGTTTTATGTTTTTATTTATGAAATAAGAGTTAAAATACATTTTAAATTACTAATCATGGCCATGTGTATTACCAAAAAATATACGTAAGATTAAATTAAATTGCTCATGTACAGTGTCACATTACCACAGTACGAACTCCTATTTGGAGAATAAAAATATGAAATTTTTATTTTAGTACATTCTCTATGTTTTATTTCTATTTAGGTGATCTCTTTATTCTATAGTCTATACCCATTTTCGCTACTTATTTGATTAAATAATTTTTTTGTCACCCCTTGTTTTGTAAATTTTTTTATGTAAATTTTATTTTTAATTTCAGGTCAACTTTTAAATAAATTACATTGTTCATATTTTTATTAACCTAATGACGCACAACTAGTCAATGCATCGACTCTTGAAGGGGTTCAAACCTGACTACGTGAGTGAACTTCCTTAAGTAAGTTCTTACCAATCAAATCATGAGAGAAGTTCAAAATTTGTTTTTTTATATATAACATTGTTTTAGAGAGTAATATGAAATGTTTTTATTTTCAACTTCCGTGAAAATAATACTACGTAGTATTTAAAAATGGCTTTTGTAACGAATTAATGACCTCCAAACGTGTATCAAAAACAAAAATTTTACACATCCGATTTGTTCTTTATGGAATTGACTTTGTTGGTACACTAAACGTGACCACATGTGGATGTTAAGGTTTGTTTGGTAAACAATAATTTGTCTAAAATAATTTGTGTGATTGAATACGAATACGGAGTATTCAATTGAACTCAATCAGATTTCTGAACTTTTATCCAAACAGTCCCTTACAAAAGAAACTGAAATGGTAGGAAATCCGAAATAAGCTTTGGTAACTTGTGAGGCGGTCTGCGCAAGGAAGGAGGAAGGAAGACGATGGAGGACGAGAGACTTCTGGAGCGAGAAAGGTACCAAATCGAACAGATACGGCAGCTCGAATCTGAAGAACTGCAGGTTGAGGAAGTCGACGACGAAGCATCCGAAGATGACGATCCCATGTAAGAGTTTAATTCATCGCGAACTTGTTTAGATTCTGTTCGATTTCGGTGTTCATACCTGTTCGGTAACTCGAGTATCCTGTTTGGAGTATCTAGTTTTCTGCATCCAAGCCTCAGATCGATAGGAAATTATAATCGGAATGGTTTGAAAGTGCTAGGTGTTCTTGTGCTGTGCAAATTCAATTCCGTTATGTATTCCTTTGGATATCTAACCTAGAAGAAAATGAGCTTTGAATGAGGTAGTTCTCATTCGATTGCGTGCAGTAGGTGGGAAAAGCAGGAATTATGTAAAGTACTCCACATGTTATATGCTATAAGATGTGCAAACAGGAATTAGGTTGCTAGAAGACAATCGTTACCACGTAGTGTTGATTTTGTATTCAGTTGGAAACTCGTTTTACTGTGAATTGAGCTCATTAATGATTACACATCTCTTTCGTTCATGTTTTTTTGTGATGCTGTGAATCTGATCGTCATAGGTTAGGGGAACCGACCTCACCTGGGGAATTCAATTATGACACCTCTTTGGCTGCATTGCATTCATACCTTGGTGGTATGCGCACTTGGATTTGTTTTTTGCTCCACTTATGCATGCAAAATGTTGATTCATGTTTATAGATGTTCGTGATATTGTTCAATTTTTTAAGCATGTGTTCTATTTCAGATGTCGAAGACACTCATAATAGGTTTTCGTTCTTGGATGGGGGAGCTGTCATAGATATTCCTTTATTCTATCTTGAAGGTGGTGTATCCATATCAGATTTACTCAACTATATAAAAATTCAACTTAATTATATGAGTATTCTTTGATTTCATTCATATCAGATTTACCTAAGACTAAGTATATCAACCTAGTCACTGTGTCTTCATTATACCATGTCTGGCCTAGAGTAACTATGGAAACACAACATGGTAAACAAAAGGTAGAAAGAGCACTAGAGTAAGGAAAAATGTTTACTTAATAAATCCATGGGGTGTTTGGTCAATTACTTTTAAGAGGGTTTATTGGAATCAGATACTGAAGTTGTGTTTGGTTTCCATTCTTAGAGTCAAACCATGTCAATTAATATATAAAGAATGATAACATCAGTTACCCATCCTCATTTCACAGTTCGGGTTTAATTTCATCACTATCTCCACTTTTTGGCGGCATTCTTTGTTTATCTTTTAAATTGTCCCATCACTCTCTTGTCATTGCATTAATGCAGTCAAATTATTATATTCATGCGGTATTCTTTTTTCCATTCAATTTTCCCTGTTTGAACAATAGAAAAGGCATGAAGCTAAGATCCAATGGTCTACACAATCTGAGTTATGGTCTATGTCTTCATTAAATATTGACCTATTGATTTCTTGATGTACCATAAAACATGAACAATAGAGTCCTAATGAACACACAAAAACCTAATCGCTCAGGATTAGGATACTCCCTTCAGATTTCTTTCCTTGGGTCATCCTATTCTACCTTAGTACCTTGGTTTTAAATTTCTATTATATTCCTCTCTTTGTTTTTTTCATTACTTAAGGATAGTATCCCCATTCTAACAAAATCAGTCCTTGAACATAATACTCCCTCCATCACTAAATAAACTTCAAATCTTAGTTTAAGATAATTGATTGAAGTTATTTTCAATTCAATTTATTTAAATGTGTTTTAAAATAAAAAACTTTTTTTCATTTTAAAAACAACATCAAAAGCTCTACTCCGTATAAAAAAAGAGGTGATTTGACTATATTTAATTGTAACAAATAATGAAAGCAAATGACCAAAGAAAGAAGATATAGTTTGACCCTATGAATAGTAGATGCGAAGTTTATTTTGGGACGTAGGTAGTACTATGTGTAATTTTGTTTTCGCTTTTTGTCCTATCTTCTGCTCTAGAATTAGACGGGTTTAAGGAGTTCGTAGTCTCATAGTTACAACAAGTCCCCTCTTTTCTTTCAGATTTTAAATCGTTATTATACATCTTATTTTCTCAGGAGTTGTTTTATTTCCTGAAGCTACACTTCCTTTACGAGTTGTTCAGTCTAGTTTTATTGCTGCTGTTGAAAAAGCATTGCGACACAATAATGGTCACTATACTATTGGTGTTGTGAGTATATTTGTGGACGTTTTCCTTTCGTTTGTGTGGTGCAATTTTTATTGAAATACACCTTTAAATTGGAATGTTGGATTTCTGGAAACATTTTTTCAGATTCGAGTTCACAGGGATTCTCGTGATTCAAGAATAAAATTTGCTACAACAGGGACAACAGCTGAGGTACCAAGTGCTACTTAATAACTCTTGTACAGCTTCAATAATGTGAACTAATATATTATTAAATGGCTTGTTACTTATGTCTGTGGTTATGAAGTTATGGATATTTTCTTCCTCATTTGGATACTTATTAGTTGTGTCATGTATATTACGGCATGTTTAAATCAATGAATCTGTTATAAATAATTTATTTTATCTGTTTTTATTATTTTTTATGATGTACCCATGTTGTTTGTATGAAACAAAATTTTCTGTCCCTGTGTTCAGTTGTGTTGTGCCCCTAGGGCCATAGGCCTATCCGTCCTTTCACAAATTAGATACACTAACAGCCCATCAATTCTTTTTTTTGCAATTACTTTATTATGTGATTGCATAATGGTTTAGATTCGGCAATATCGGCGGTTGGAAGATGGTTCATTGAATGTTGTTACCCGCGGCCAACAGCGCTTTCGTCTTAGACGCCGCTATATGGATGTTGATGGAGCAGTAAGAGCTTTTTAGATGTGAATACATCAAAGTTTCCTTGTTTATTGTTCTCTTAGTTTGGTTGTTTGATTTATTACTCCTCTTAATAGCCTTGTGGAGAGATTCAAATTATCCAAGAAGACACCCCATTGAGGACACCTCGAGATGCTGTTGGGAGATTGATACCATCGAGAAGATTGCAAGCTGGGGCCGGTGTGAATTTACAAGCAAAATCATTAAATGTTTCTCCAATGGAGCATTATGGATGTGGAAATGGGAATGATTCAGATGCAATGTCAGAGGAAAGCTTTGAAGGTGGATTATCATCGGGAGAGAGAAGGCTTCACCGGTCTGCTATTGTTTCTAATATTGGTGAGAATATGAGTGATGAGTCAACGAGCAGTGATTATGATGATGATGATGATAAGGCTGTTGAAGAATTAGATGTTCGATTTGGAAGAAGTCGCCTACATGATTTTCTAGGTTCTTTGCATCCCCGACACAATGAAAAGTGTATGCATCCTAACCAGGAAATTAGAGAAGGATCCGTTTCGGATGTGTCATCTTGTAAAGACATTGGATGGAAGAATCAGGTTATTAATCAGACGCGTGAAGTTTCAACGGCTTATTTGCCCAACTGGGTGTATCGGATGTACGATTCATATTGTCTTGCTCAGAGGGCAGCAGGTTGTATGACCTTATTTTTCTAGTCTGCTAAAATAGCATTTTATTTATTGAGTGGCCTTCTTTGAAATCTCTACTTCATAATTAGATATTTTATAGATGGGATTTGCCCGTGATCATCATTATGAGCAACATAATCCCCACTAATCAGAGTCGGTGGAATGACATTTGTATCACCCAAATATTAGCGGTCTAAAATTAGTCAACACTATAGGGTATTTCCACTTGCATCCCTACACTTTGGTATTAAGTTCAACTCCTTAGATTGGTTCCCTCCAAATTTGTAAAAACATAAGAAGACTGTGGGTTGACAAGTTTTGTTTTTGCCTCACTTTTGTTATGGATCACTTATGATGTGGGTGTTTTAGGCATCTGATGTGCATGCAAGTATGATGAGTCATGCAAGGTGGGACATTTAAGAGTGCCTCAAATTTAGGAAACGTAGGATTGTGTTGTTAATATTGAATTTGTGAAGTATGAATTGATTTGAGAGAAGTAAATTATACAGAATTTGGTATGTGACAAAAAATTTGGGACACCCCTATAATCCTAAATAAAGAAAAGGAAAAAAAGTAGTAGAACAAAGGTAGTAGTAAAGGTCAAACCCCTTGGTTATGCATGATGCATAACCAAGGCTTTTGAAATGCATGTCACAATCTGGGTATAATGATATAAATGCTAAAAAATCTTTGTATGCTTTACTTCACAAATGTCTTTTCGCTTTGATAAGTTAGTTACTTAGTATTATTCATTACATGCTTCTTTGGCAATAGTCTTCATATCATTTACTTTGATAACGTCACTTGAGTACAAGATGTTAAGCATTCAATTTCTTTCGATGTTTAAAAAAAATCTTTGTATGATTTACTTCACAAATGTTTCTTCGCTTTGATAAGTTAGTTACTTACTATTATGCATTACATTCTTCTTTGGCAATAGTCTTCATATCATTTACTTTGATAATGTCACTTAAGTACATGACCTTAAGCATTCAATTTCATTTGTTGTTTTTTTCCCACATCTCTCGTGGGTTCTACCTGGAACGTAACTATTTTAAACTAGAATTTGGCTAGTAATTTTCTCAAGGTGTATTTTTGTAGAACGGTGGAAACAGATTGTTAAGGCACCAAGCATGGAGGCATTTCTGATGAAGCCAGATCTTCTTTCATTTCATATTGCCAGTAAGATTCCTGTATCAGAATCAACTAGGCAGGAGCTTCTTGATATTGATGGGATATCTTATAGGTTGCAGCGAGAAATTCAATTACTTGAACGCTTTGATCGTGTACGGTGTAAGACTTGTGAGGTAAGCACGTTGAAGAATTAGCTACAAACAGAGCACTTGGTTATAATTCATCTGTAACTTCTCTTACAAATTATGTAAATCTGATGGACCAAGACCTTTTTTTCGGACAAAAAGAGGTTTTAAACGTGACTTTTTTTGGGGGGGGGGGCAGAGGAAGTATGATTTATTGTGTGTATGTGTGTGGCTAATATTTATTGTATTAAATCCATGCAGACACTGATTGCTAAGCGAAGTAATATGTTGGCAATGTCTGGAGAGGGTCCTCTTGGGGCTTATGCCAATCCACATGGTTATGTGCATGAGATAATGACACTGCTTAAAGCAAATGGGCTAGCAGTCATTGGGACTCCGAAGGTGGAGTATAGCTGGTTTCCCGGGTATGTTTTATGCTTTTCTGCTAATATGCTGCTTTCTTTATCGCTCTCTGATTGTCTGTCTCATTCTTTACTGATTCTGAAGTGAAGGCAGTCATTTGCATGTCATGTGATTGGACAATCCATATAATATGAAAGATCAAGTGGTATCCATAGATTGAGAATGTTGTTTTTACGTGATCCAAGAAATTTAGAAAATAAAATGCATGGACCTTAGTCATCCATATACTCCATCTGTCCCACTTGAATCTTTCCAGTTTCCTTTTTGGGCCGTCCCTCTTGAATCTTTCCACTTCCCTAATTAGCAAGTTTCCCCACTTCAAATGACAACTTTACCCCTCTATATTCCATTTTATCTATCCTTCTAATTTCATTTCCCATTCCATTAAATGCCTCACAATTTCTCTCTCTCTCTCTCTCTCTCTATCCTCTCCTTTTCTTCTCCCAATCCGCCTTTTCTTCTTCATCAGGCAACAGGCAGCCTGCCTCTTCATTTTTTCTTTCTTCAAACCCCCGCCCCCCTCACACACACACTCCCCTCTCAAACCCTAGATCACTACATCACATATTCAATTGACGAAAGGGGGAGATGACGCCGGTGTCCAAGAAAAAAAGGGGTGCCGGTGGCTGACGAAAAGAGGGACGATGGTGCTGGTGGCTGACAAAAAGGGGGCGCCAGAGGTTGACGAGGTGCGATGACAGTTGACGAGGGGTGGTGGCAGTTGTGGAAGAACCCTAGATTTGGTTTTGATTTTCAATTTCTTCATAGCCCTCTCCTCAGATCTGTTTTGATTTTGAATGTAATGAAATTCAATTTTGGTTCCTTTTCTTGTTTTGATTTTGATTTCCTTCGGATGCATTTGGGGCGGATTTGAGGTTATGGTAAAAAAAGATGATCTTGTTTGAATATGGTGGCCATGGATGAGGGATGAGTTTGAGGTTAGAGAAGAAAGAAAAAGATTAGCAGGATACTGTAAAAAAAAAGAAGAGCTGGAAGGTGGTCTTGTGGGAAAGACAGGATGGGACGGTGGTGGGATATTGAAAAAGGGCACAGGATAATAATTGGAAGGGGTAATATTGGAAACTCAATATTTTTATCACTTTACATTAAAACCCGCGCAAAGTCAGAGTGTAAAGATTCTAACGGGACGGAGGGAGTAATAAAAGTTGAAGGATTGGATCCACTCCATTATTATCAATTATAAAATAAATGGAATAGATGGATGATGGAGCCACTTTAGCAGGCATATTTGTAGGCTATGTTTGGCATCACATGTGGTAGCTTATTTCATAAAATTTAACTTCACCAAACTCTCTAGCTCATTTGGAAGTAGGTGTGTTTGGTAAACTAAATTTCAGCTATCTAAAACCTAATATGTTACTCTAGCTCTTATTGTGTACCTTCTTGAATCAAGTAAAATGACATGGTTTGCCTTCTTATCTCATATCCCAATTAGCATCATTTATTTTCTTGTGGATATGTTTTTGAAGCATAGAAACTGTTGTGTGTAGGTATGGTTGGTCGTTTGCAGAATGTGTTTGCTGTGGATCTCAAATGGGGTGGCTCTTTACCGCTACAAATAAGAAACTGAAACCACAATCATTTTGGGGCATTAGGTGTTCCCAACTTGCTGACACAACATAGGCCCAAACCTTTTATTGAAGGCATATAGGTTGATCATTGTAAAGCTTCACTCCATGGTTAGTTAGTTTACTTGCCTTTGCTCATATTCACACATCTCATCAAAGTTTTGGAATAATTCAATTGTTAAGGCCATGTTCTTTTCGCCTTAATTTCAATTAGAATCCGGTGTGGAGTCTGGTAAGAATGGTTACTGGATTTTGGAAACTAGTAACTAGAACCTGATAACTGGAATCTAGATTAAATACTACTCCGTATAAAACTGAAGTAAATTTTAACTGAAAAACGGGTAATGGGAACTTGTCAAGGAACATATTCAACCAAAAGCTCAAGTTTGTGGTTGTAGGCCCAGGATATGTTTTATATTCTAACACGCCCCCTCACGTCCACGTGAGTGTTTTTTTGCTTTGAGCCTTGCACGTGAAAATTAGTTTTTTTAGATATGGGTGGCCTTGAGCTTTGAATTTCTTGACCTCTTGGTCATCAAAGCTCTGATACCATGTCAAGGAATCAATTCAACCAAAAACTTAGGCCCAAGATTGGTTTTATATTTTAACAGAACTTAGTACCGGAGTGGGGTAGCTGAAGTTTGAAGTCTAGGGAATGGCCTTAATAAAAGTTGAAAAGAGCATGGCCTAATTATTTGCTAGTTCTTAACTTGCAGACTTGGAGCAGAACATCCCAACTGTTAAATGAGTTCTCGTGTTTTCCATGCCGGTAGTTCCCGTATAGATCTTTAAAGTTTAAACTGTTATACATGTTCTCTCTTTCCTACAACTACTGTGCGTGTGTCTGTGTGTGAGAGAGAGAGAGAGAGAGAGAATATTATCTAATGGTTATAAGATCTATAGAGACACTTCCCATACGGATAGCATGAATGATACAATTGTACAAGTTCCTCAACTATGGGCAATAATGGTCTTCTACAGCTATATATGTATCTTGGGAGGCAGATACACTGGAATTTGACGGTCCGCAGATCGAGTGAGATGTGGTAGGAACCGTTGGATGCACGGAGTGGGTCCGGGTGAGGCTTGAAATCTACACCGTCCGATTTTGGATTAGAGAGACAAAGGTTTGGAATTGTTATCCTTTTTTTCTGTCCATTTAAAAAAAAGGAGAGAGACAAATCATGAATCTCACCCCTATGCTCCTTGAGATGAGAGTGTAGTTCATATTTGACTACATTGATTGTTGCTTGATTGTTGTCTTCAACTGATTTTTTGAGTTTGGAGCATTGCAGTGAGTTTTAGTAACTAGTCTAGTAAAACGGTTTTTTGGAACACAATTTTGGATTTAAATTTACTTCATAAACTGTGGCATTGTAGTCAGAAAACTTTAAAAAAAAATTAAACACATTTTCTGTTTTGGTCCATCCTAAAATACTCTACCCCCTACCCCCTCCCCTCATAGAGCATGGTGTCATTATAAATTTTTTTAGTTATGAATCAATGTTAACCATATCATGTAAGCAAGAAATGATGTTTAGGATGGACCAAAACAGAATCGTAAGTTAATTTTTGACAAAACATGTACTCCATTTTCTGTTTTGGTCCATCCTAAAATACCTTTAAAAAAAATTAAACACATTTTCTTGTTCGGTTTACTATATTTGATCGCAGTTATTTTATGGGTACCAAACCATGAGCTTATATTAAAAGTTGGCATGCCAGTGGTGCTATTTAGAAATATTGTCCAGTAATGAAACAAGGTCAATTGAGTAGCCATCCAATTTCAAGGAAAAATAATGATGGGAGAGGTAATTTCTGTACTTTCTTTTGCTCCTTCAAATACAACATATAAAATTTACAAAAGAGTAAGTTCTATAATTAATTTTTTATAATATAAAGATTTTCATATTTAGTCTTCTATTATCAATTACGGAATATTACTCTTGTGGTCCTTTTTTATAGATATTTTTTCACAAATAATTTTTAAAATTTCTTGTTATGTTGGTGCTAATTTGAGATATAAAAATATAATTCCACAATGATTATATATCTTTCTTGTTACGGCCAATGCTACTAGTCATTGTTTATGTGTCATTTGCCAACAAGAATAACTTTCTATTACAATTATACTCTACAAATGTCGTTTTTGGTCAAAGTCTTAGTCTATTCATAGTCTAAGTCTACATTCATAGTCATTATTGTTTTGTTTTCCAATTAAGCCGATATCAGAATACGTCAAGCAATGTTTGGGTTAGAAAACGATGAAAAAAGCCGTGTCGCCGCAACGAGAACTACGAATATCTTTGACAGAGTAGAAATCCCATCGCAATATTCTGATAACGATAACATGATTATTTTTATACTATCCCCTAATTTTAGTTTATTACTTCTCAAAAATGATTACATAAATTTAATCACATATGCATATTCATTTATTTTCTAAATACTTTGTTTCAAAGCTTTTACCTTATTGTATTATTTATTTTATTGCTACATATATTTTCCAACAAAGTAAATAGAATAAAGTTGGTTTAATTGAAGGGTGACAAATGACATTATGCCACATTTACATTCTTTAATAATGTACCATTATTTAATTAATCCATTTTTTATTATAATATATTACTCCTTCATTAATTAAAACCATTTTCATTACTACTTCATTCAATGACCAATTAATTTTGTATAAACCCTTTTGTTTTTAAATTAACATACCAATATATATTATATCCACCAGTTTAAAACATATTTTGTCAATATTAGAAAACTAGAATAAATAAAATTATATTTATAGAATGTCAAAAATTTAGAATGTACATGCTTCCGTGCAAAGCGGGATTAATACTAATAAAATAGTTATGCCACTACTTGTTTTGAAAATCTTTTGATATAATTTTTAAATACTCCCTTCGTCCCTGAGTGTTTGTCATCTATTTTTGATTTTTTTCAATCAAAATTAGTAAACTTTGACCTCAGATTAAATAAAAATGATATTAGATATTGATAAAAAATAATTTTATTAGATTTATTCTATGAAATATTTTCAAAATATTATTTTTTCTAATTAAAATACAATATGTATTTCATTTAATTATAGGTCAAAGATTGAAAATAATTAACTAAAAAAAGTCAAACTGGACAAATACGCAAGTAGTATGTAATTTTTGCTTTTCAATCCTACATCATTTTTCATATAAAAGGATTTGAAAAAACTTTCAGTCAAATATCTTAAACCGAAACATGCGATTAAATTGGGACGGAGGGAATAGATGTGTGTGTCCTACATATTCTCCTACTACAAACGAAAAGAAAAAAGTTTCCATCTAAAAAAGAAGTGTTTTTTTTCCTTGCATTGCTTCAAAGGACCAAATGGAACACCAACCCTTCCAATGCATGGATGAATGCATGTTAACGGTAGTTACGATAGACCGCGCTGTACATGCAGCTCTCTGCATACTTTATCAGATCCCTTGGACGGGGGAGACGCGTCGCCAGACCTAAAATATATAGAGAGAGAAAAAGAGAGAGAGAGAGGGGGGGATCAAATAATGTGAAAACCAAGGGGAAAAAATATGGAAAAATGCGGTGACATTCAATAAATAAGTCGTACTTTCTCGCTATCGTGAAATATGCATTGAAAAGGTAAATGACAACAAATGCCAACGTGAAATATATATATAAATATATATATATACACTTCAAGACGTGTTTCGTATGCGATCTATTTAAGCTAAATAAGAAGAGTGGAGGGGACTCACCGAGATCATAAGCCTTTGCAGCTACATTGGCTGCAATGTGAGCTGATATTTTCCTGATTTTAGTGATTGGTGGGTATATTAGCCCCTGCTCATAGTTTTCTTCCGTCACCTCTGCCGCCAATGCTTTCGCTGATGATTCAACAACCAAAATATCTCTTTAGTCTTTACACACACACACACACTCACTCACTCACTCACATACATTTCAATGTCATTCTTCTTGAACATTACTAGTAAAATGTCTCACAGACACATACGGACAATATAACAGTTTATAAGATATAATAGTGTTAGTATAACATTTCCCCAACTACTATGATGGTTAGATTTTGAGACTTAATTTTTTATCGATATACATTCACACAACACGGGTATTTGACAGAGAGCTTTTTGGAGAGGATTCTGAGAACAACAACATTGATATACATTCACACAACATGGGTGTTTGACGGAGGGTTTTTTGGGGAGGATTTGGAGAATAAAAACAGATATTCAAAGTGTTTAGAAAAAGAACTTTTTGGGAGAGATTTTTTTTGTTCCAAAACCAGGCTTACAAAAAAAACTTTTTTTTTCTGAGCTCTTTGAATAGAGCTTTTTTATTTGTGCAGCAGCTGTTTTTCTAGCTTTTTTGGAGTAGTGTAAAAAGCTAAGTTTACTTACAGGCGGCTAAAAGCATGTCATCATGCACTCTGATGGTTCCAGACATGATTAGACCTAACCCAAATCCAGGGAATATGTATGCATTGTTAGCCTGAGAAATATCACAAGTTTTTTTTCCGAGTTAGCTTGCAATGAGTGGTAAATAAACTATCAAAATAAGGCATTGATCAAGACGACAACAACCCAGTATAATCCCGAACTTTGTTGGGATCTTGGGGGTCAAGATGTACACGGTCGAAAAAGAGAGATGTTTCGATTAGACCTTAGATGCATTGTTGCATTTACTGATCAAAACTTCACTGAAAGTAAGAAGCAAAACTACTCTTGAGGTCAAATAAACAAATAAAAAGGCACCTGTCCTGGAATGAATTTCTTCCCCCCGTACTCAACCGGATCGAATGGACTTCCACTAGCGAAGATTGCACTGCCCTGCAGTAAGGATGGCATTGTCGTAATAATTCGCCTAGGAACTTCCTAGGTTGTGGGACCCACCTAGCAGATTTCGCAACGTTGGGCTTTTTACGTACCTTGGTCCATGTATAGGCCTCTTCTGCAGTGCACTCGGCTTGTGAAGTCGGATTGGACAGAGCCATGATGACAGGTTTCTATATGATGCAACATTCAAAGTGTAATCACAAGTCAGGGTATAGGTATTCATCTTTGTGTTTGACTTCTTTTTGGTGGGGAAAAGACTAAATTAACCTCATTGATTGACGCCATCGTCTCCACAACTTCTTGGGTAAATGTTCTTCCAACTCCTGAAGTTCCTATAAGAACTGTTGGATTTAATGCCTGCATTACACACACACACACAATTTAGCAGTCATTCATTATTTACTTTCCTAATCATTGTGTTTTTCACTAAAAAAGTTCATATGCACCTCCACATCACCTTGACGGCGTCAATGAGTTCCTTTACGGGTTCATGTTCATGAGCCCACGGTCTTTTGAACTGCTGAAGTGATTCCATTCTGGAACTCACAATCAGTCCCTGCAGTTAAAATGCATGAAATTTTACTGCTAAAGCCCATGAAATTTTACTGCCTTGTGCGCTGACTGCTCTTTGTTTTGTTTTAAATCAATAAGAAGAATGGACTAAAGACGTAATGCAATAAACCTTTGAATCAACGAGCCAAATTTTTTTCCGAGTTTCTTCTATGGGAACACCAGACTGCAAAAGTATGTGGGTAAATAAACAACAATAACAACAAATGAACAAATACAGCAGAATCCCACAAAAGTAGGGTCTGACGAGAGAAGGTGTGCGCAGACCTTACCCATACTTAGAAATAGAGAGACTGTTTCCAAGAGGAAAAAGAAGCCGGATAAAAGAAAGTGAAGTAAAAATATGCAATAGACAAATCAGTACTATTCAGCAATACCTTTTTTGAAATTTCAAGTGCTATAAGCTCTGCTATCCCAGTTCCAGCCTTCAGTATGTAAACACATGTTCATACAAAATTAGGGTCCACACACCGTAGTTGACTTATAAGCTAGATATTAAGCTCTTTGAGTAAGCTTTTCAAATAGGTACTGTTTGGTTGAGTAAATGCATTTGAGAAAATTTAGAGCTTATTTAGTAAGATTCAAAAAGTAGCATTTCGAATAAGCTAATATGTTTTTTGGTATAGATTTCCATTTTCAACCTCATTGCTATTGTGAACATATTATTTTATGTTGTTTCGCGTTTCTAAACTAGGTTGTTGGCTGACTTTTACCAAGCAGTATATGAGATCAGTTTGTGATCTAAGCTCGACTCGTTTGACTAAAAACAAAATCGGCAAATACTCTGGAAGGAGATAGTATTAACTAACTTATCAGCTTGTTTTACCAAACATAACTTAAAGTATGAATGAAAGAACTCCTTAAAAGACAAACTAGCTCACCTCCCCAGCACCTAGGAACAAGAAAGTATGGTCAGCCAGCGCTCTGCCAACCAACTTTAAAGCAGAAACAAGCCCAGCTAGAACAACGGATGCCGTTCCCTGTCACGTAAGTACAGTGAGTCAATCTTTTTGGTGTGGTTTGACCCAAATCACCAGATGCATTATTGTCGCAAATTATTTTGTACCTGTATATCATCATTAAACACAAGATGTGTCGTGCGGTATTTTGCCAGAAGATCAAAAGCATTGTGGTTCGCGAAGTCTTCAAACTGTATGAGTGTTTTTTCTCCATAGTTTTGTTTAACTGCAGACATGAACTCATCGAGAAGTTCTGCGTACTCCTGCAGACATAAATTGATCATAAGGAGAAAACATTTTACAAAATTTTAATACAAGTCAACAGTGAAAAAAATCCTCAATACAGTCCCAATACGGTTAGGGGCTGGGTCAATATGTAACCAACCTTGCCCTTGTAAAAAACAGAAAGGTTGTTTCTATTAGACTCTTAATGCATTGAACACATTAACTTTCCAAAGCATCATAGAAAGTGAGAAGTGAAGTTTAATGTGTCATTTTTATCTGGTATACTCATTTACCCAAAACTAAAAACATTGTAAAAATGGCCCCTTTAGCTCCAATGGCGATGGAACACATACAAACAAGTATATTTTTCAAAATCTTTCAGCGTTGTTAAGTTTTCACAGTCTATCTATATTAGAAGCAAATAAATAAAGTGAGTTTTAACATATATCTAAAAAAATCATTTAGTTTGAGTGTTTCTTTTATTGTTCTAAAAAATTTCATTGCTTTCTATTCTTTACTATAGTTTTTTTCCGTGTTGCAAAGGGACCCGTACATAAATTCCAAAAGAAAAAAAACATCAAAGAGAAGAAGAAATAAATAAGAAAATGAGATCTATTAGATAGTGATAGAATAATTGTATTGTTCAATTAAGGAAGAATATTTAAGAGAGTATATATAGTAACCAGTTCTAGTAGACTTAGGAAGCTGCCAAATAATAGAAACTACAAAATAATAGAAACTGACTATAATACAAAGATCATCTTAAATAAATAAGTTATTATGTATTATTAATACTTCAATGTCTAACAGATAGCTACCTGTCCAGTTGCTCTCCTCTGCTTGAGTCCAATGTAAAACTCATCATCAAGTAATTTCTGATTGTTTGTGCCTACATCAATGGTAATAGGCAGGCACTGGAAAAAAGAAGAAAAAGAATAAGAAGAAAAAGAAAATACAACAACAAAGCCACTAAAATCCCACAAAAAATAGGGTCTCGGAGGGGTGTGTGTATGTAGACCTTACCCCTACTCGAAATAGGGATGCCATTTCCAAGAAGAAGAAGAAAACATACAAGAAAAATTAATTCACTAAAAACTATGCCCTATCTAAGCATTTTCCTACTCTTAAAGTTCATATTCTCAAGTAAGTAAGCATAATTGAAGATGCAACATGTCTCTCTAATGGCATCAATCCAAATTTCACATTAGAAATGTAAGACAACAATATTTAGATTATAAATGTACATGTAACTTCATTCTTATGAGGACTTTTGCGAATGTGCTTACCACAGAGGGACGCACTCCTCCAAGAGCAGTGTACAGAGAAAGTTTTCCAACAGGAATTCCCATTCCCTGCAAAAGGTTATATGTTTTGCTTTTAACTACGGTAAACTTTTTTTGAACAACTCAAGAAGAAAAAAAAATATGCAGAAAATTTTACTTTACCTGACAACCGAGGTCACCAAGCCCCAATATGCGTTCACCATCAGTCACTACAATTACCTGTATGTTCTTCTCTGGCCAGTTTTTCAGCACTTCAAGAATCTTTCCCCTAAAAAAATTTATATTTTTAGGGACGAAAAAACATATATATAAACCTTATTTATAGTACAGCATTATTAATTACTTCTCTTTGAGACTGATAAATAGGCCTTGAGGACGCCTGAAAATGCTTCCGTATTTCTGGCAAGCCTCGCCAACGGTTGGGGTATAGACAATTGGAAGTAGTTCTTCAATGTTATCAATTAAAAGTTTATAAAACAGCCTTCCATTTCTCTCCTGATGACAGCATTAGTTAACAACAAATTTAACATGCATATTTTAGTCATAGTCAACAACAAGAAGAACACCAAAGTCCCACAAGAAATAGGGTCTGGGAAGGGCACTAGTACGCAGAGCTTACCCCTACTTGGTTGGTAGTAGAGAGGCTTTTTCCAAGAGACCCCCGGCTCAAACACAAGCACAAAGTAACCACAGTAAAAGTACAAGTATTGACAAAAGAAGAAAACATACTGACTCTAGCAACTAGACTTGAAGCACAGTAAACACACATGCACAAGCTACAGACTAAAAGTTCAGAAAAATTAGCATGCACAACAAATTTGAAAGTAAAACAAACATGGTTAATATGATTTCAGTACAAACACCTTTGTTTCAACCCGGACACTTCATTTACCAGGTACTAATCCCATTCATTCCATATACACCCTAGGTCCCATAAGAAGAGTTGGTTTCATGAAAGTAAACTTTTTAATTTTGAATAAGACACAGAAATTATTAAACATGAAAACTAGCCTGTTTTCATTAAAGAGAGATTTTTTTTAACAAAAAGTTGTCATGAAATTAGCCTAAGTTAAACATGCCGTTCACGGGTTCTATTCCCTAAACTGGAAAGAGAAAATACCTGAAGATCCATCATGGCTATGTATCGTTGCAATGGGACATCATATTGACGAAGATTATGCATCAATTTCTTCTCCTGAAAACACAATTTTACAGGGAGATGTGTTACGGGTAATGTTGGGCCTAAAAGAACTCTCAAGAACCGTCGTCCCAGTTCATAAGGGCACATAACCATTACCCCTTCCAAAAAAGGACACTCCTATCTCGTCCAATGCTTGCGAAACATTCTTTTTTCAATTCATATTTAGCTGCTCTGGGACACTTTTTGAATAGAATGTGGCGGGTGATCAAGGAGAAGGAAAATACTTACCTGAAGTTCTTGGGTCATAACAGCAGGAGGTAGAAGGCCACGCAAGTAATAGGCATCTCTCTCTTGGTCACTAAATGCAAGCCCTTTATTGTAGTGTGGATCGCGCATCAAACTATATCCACTGTCATATCACTCATATGCATCAATACAACATCTAATCAATTCCAAAATTAAAGAGAAAATAAGCTGAACTCAAAAATGTAAACATTATTTTTCACTGGGCCTTAACAATAGTACTAATAATAATCCAAAAAATGGCTTCTTTACCTAGCCACAGAGAAAAACCATGGGGTGATAGACTGGTGTTCGGTGGCTCTATCCTCACCATAGATATCTGCAACTCCACCGGCTACACCAGCCTTATCATTCAAGTCAAGCACAGACTCATCATCTCCCATCTCTTTCATTGTACTCTCCATTTATTTTTTTTCTTTTTACTGCTTTTTTTTCTAAAAAAAACCCCTAATAACCGTTGTTGTTGCCTCCTCTTTGGCCAAATAATGACACCCCCAATGCCTCTCTTCTTGTCTGCCACCACACACACAAACACACACACACAAACAAACATTTTAAACAATATAACTAATTGTTAACCAAACAAAAGCAAGAAAGGTGGAGGGTGTGTTTGGAAAACAACAGATAGCAATTAGCATGCTTGACTATCAACTGTGTAAAATGATGTTTGGTAACTTAGTAAAATGTTAATGGTGTGTTCTGGCAAATAACAGTCAGTAGATAGTGGTTGGCAGTTAGCATATATTGCATTATGCACGAATTAGCATGTCGGAATATCGGTTTGTAAGAAGATGTTTGGTAACTTTGCACAATGCTAAAGAATAAACTAATAATGCCAATATCAAAATGTTGATCCTATCAGCATTTCCAAATCACCTTAGCATAATGCCAGTTCAAAATGTCACCTAATTCACCATTTTGATGAGTAAAAAAAATACTGTTTTGGATCAATATCCCCAAAAAAGAAAACATCATATGAAAGATCAAAATGGCATTTAACAGACACCCCTAAAAATAAAACTAAAATGCTAATCTACCAAACAACTCAAATAGCATTTTGAGCTGTGAAAAATATTGTTTTGGATCAAAGGGTAGGGAAAAAAAAAGAGATAATGCTTACCAAATCGTTGTCAACAAAATAAAATCTAAATTGGGGGAAAAGAAGATTCCAGAACTGGGTCTGTGAAGCTGAAGAATGAATGAGATGGAGAAGCATCGTGACACAGAGAGAGCAATATATTGATGGTTGGCATGCCGCCGAGAAAGAAAGTAGGGGAGATTTCTTTGGGAGCTGAGAAGTGGGTGACAAATTGCACAAAGGGAAAGATGAGAGAGAGTTTTGAATTCTTCCTTGTGGTTGCCCTTGCATTTTGAGATTGATGGTTGAGCTTCTTCCTTTGAACATGAAATTCTCAATAAGAAAAAAAATGAAAAAAGTAATGCAAAATGATAGGGTAATTGGCACTTTTCACCCTCATGTGTAGTCGTGAAATTCCGAATGAAGCGGTTATCGGTCATTTGGCCACCACCTCAACGCCTCAGCACGGAGCTCAATGACAAAGATGAGTTGTAGTCATTAAAAAAAACCTCATGACTCCATTCATCTTTTCGTCTCAAATTAAATTGCATGTTTATTATTTACATTATTAAACTTCATTCAGTTTCCTTCTTTATTTTTATTAGTCATTTGATAAAATAATGTAATCATGTTACCACTAGTTTTGTTTAAAAATTATTCAATAAAAATTCATAATTATTCTTTTATGTTAAATGCAATCAAATATCTATTTCAATATATTATTTACTCTAAGTATGTTATTTCTTTTACTTTTTAATCTTAAATAAAAATATATACTACAAACATTTTTAAACATTAATCTAGTTACTTATGTCAAACGTTTACAATTTGTTTCTTTACATAAAATGTCAAGAATAAAAAAAATAATTCGGTATTTTAAAATATGAATATATCAAAATTATATAAAAAAATCTTTCTAAAAATTATATTTGATTTATGAAAATAATTCTTATAAAAATTAAATATTTTTTTTAGATTTAAGCCTATAATTAATTAATGATTTTGATAAACATATAACTTTTGTGTTTTGAAGAAAATACTGTTATAACTTTTCGCATCATTTGTGTTATAAAATTTTTGATATAGTTTTTAAACATAAAAATTGTAATTTTTATATCTATACTAATTTATAAATAAAATTATTTAAAATACTTATTTCACTAGTAAGAAAATATTTATTTGTTTTACATTAACTTTCACAATGAATCTACCCTTCAACAATTTGCCTTTTTAAGATAGGTAATTATGTATGTTCCGAAAAGGGAAAGGATTTTAATTTTGGTTACGAGTGACAAACAAGTAGAAGGTATTCATTAAATAAAATTCCAAATGTCTCATATAATTATTGCACTTTCCATAAAAGGCATTATTACTCCGTATTTGTTTGGTTTGTATACCCATCCTAATGCCTTAAACACCCATCCTTTTTTTTGAAAGTTATATCTTCAGGGATCGCTCATTCTATTTATTTTTTTTACTAAAGTGCAGTAAAATTAAAAATTTAAAATATGTATATTTTATCATATAAATTTTGAATAATGTTTCCGATAAAAAATATAGAATTTTAAAGTTACCCACTCCGTTCCATATCTTTATTTATGTTTCGTACAATGTACAAAATCTCATCTCTTTTAAAATAATTTTATTTACAATTTGGTATAGAAAAAAATACAAATTACACCGTTCAAAACTACATAAAAAATTTTACAAAATAAGAGTGACAACAATATTTTATTTTATTAAATAATCAATGAAAGCATGCATACAAACATAAGTTATCGTGAACCATAATAGTAAATAGTAAGAAAAATATGGGACGAATGGGGTAATACTTTGTAATCAAAATTATATTCGTTGGGTAAGTATTTAGGAGATAAATTCAACAATATATCTTACGAAATATTAAATTTAAAAATCTCGTGACATTGAGTCCCAATCTCACGGAACCCCTCCGATTTTATATACTCCTTCCGTCCGAAAATGTTCTTCTCGTGTTGACCACGTTTTTTAAGGAGTTATAAAAAAACGTCAAATTTCCAAAAATGCATATACTATAAACTTTTAAATCTCCTTCTCTTATTAAAAAAATAATAAAAAAGTATATTAGTAATAAAATAAAAAGATATTATTAAAATTTATAATGAGAAAATAGAAAGTGGAGTGACCTTCTTCTACTCGCCTATATAAATGTGCTCTGCCCCTCTCTCTCTCTCTCTATGACTTCCATTCACTACAAAAATTATCCAGAGTGAAAGTTTAATGAGATCATCTTCTCCCATGGCAGCAGGGCAAGAAGAAGAACTCGAATGGATAGGGAAAGCCACGGCCAAATTACAGGGCCCAAAACCACCCCAAGTTTGGTCCGTCCTGGTCGAAGACTTCTGCAACATTCACCGCTGGCTCCCCGCCGTCGACGACTGCTGGCAAGTCGCCGGAGTGAAGGGAGAGGTGGGCGCGGTCCGGTGTGTCGCCACCGGCGGGGGCAAGAAGCTGTGCAACGAGACCCTGATCAGCGTCGACCACGGCGCGCGGTGCCTGAGCTACCGAGCTCTCGAGAACAATGTCGGGATCCACAGGTATGTGTCGACTATGAAGGTCTTACCGGCGGCGGAAGGTGGCGGTGATGGTGAGGCCGGATGCCTGATTGAATGGTCCTACGAGGCTGACCCACTTGATGGGATGACCCGTGAGAGGTTCGATAGTCTTATCAAAAACCATTTAGAAGGAATGGTTGAGAATCTCGAGAAAACTTTTCCTTTGAATTCTTGATTCTTTTACATGAGCAATCCAATTTAAAAATTCTCCCATCAAATAAAAATTTGAATATTGAAACTCATATCAAAAGAATGTTTTATTTATATCTTATTAATAAGTGAGAATGTTTGTATTGCAAGAACATCGCAATTTGAACTTCTCTCTTGGTTTGAGTCTCACGCAGAAATTTCATGAAAAGGTTACTCATGCTCGATTTCCAACGGGGGATTCAAAATCACTCACTATGTTTGGTTTAAGAAATTTGAAAAGGAAAACAAATTTTCTTGTTTGTTTAGAGATGGAAAGAAAAACACTGAATGAAAAAGTAAAATATACTAAGAAGAATGAAAATCAAATTTCTTCCATTTTGATATGAAAGATGAGGCAAACTCATTTTTTTATTTTCCTTCTTTATTCCTTGAACCAAAACATAGTATATGTGTTATTATGATTAGAGAATACAAATATTTACTACTCCGTATAATGTAATGGAGTCATTTGCTCTAAAAAAGTTTGTAATTCAACATTCATTTTAGAGTATTTTTTATAATACTCACGCCCTCATAATAATACTCCAATTTTACTTTGTCATGTTTGACTGAAATTATTTTTCAATTTAATTTATACTTCGTATCAAATTTGGTGTACAAATAATTTGCATATATTTAAAACAACTTTAAAAATTCTATAAAAATAAATAGTGACAAGATTATTGTATTTTATCAAATAGTCAATAAAAATTAAATATAATTTGACAAATGAATAGTTTGTGACATTATTATGGAACAAAGAGAATACTCTATCCGTCTCATTATATTTGTTTAGTTTGACTTTTTCGATTCAAACTCTACAAAATTTGAGCTTTATTTAAGTAAAAAAACAAGAATGTATTTTAACATAAAAATAATCTTATTAGATTTATCATATTGAAAACTTTCAAAATTACATTTCATTATACTAATATGTACTCGTAATACAAATTGATAAGAATAATTAAAGTTTAAAGTTTATTTAAATTGATTTGAAAAAAATCAAATTAAACAAATAGAGAGAGGTAGTATATACCTCTTCCATCATATCTAACTCTCTAAGGCTCTAAGCCATTGGCGGATCCAGTGTACCTTGAATCATTGGGGCAAATGCTCCTTAGAGTCCTTTCTAACTTTTTTTTAGGGAAAAACAAACTTAATTAATGAAATTACCATTACTAATATTTATCAAGTTTTTGACTTTTTTCAATCCTATTTTAAATTACTTGTATCATTTTACGATGTTTGACTTAAGTTATTTTGAAATTATTTTATCTAAAAATTGGCGTAAAATTAAAAAATATAAAAATTACTCTATATATTTGAAAACTGTATCAAGAAATCTTTAAAATTAGTGGTGACATGATAATATTATTTTATTAAATGACTAATAAAAATATGAAAAGAAAGTAAATAAAATTTGACCATATGAATAGTATATAGACAATTAAAATTGAGATGCATAGAGTACAATATTTTCAAGAGATTATTTTATATAATTAATATACTATATAAATTCTATTTAATTTAAAGTCAAAGATAAAAAATGATTGAATTGACTATAAAACATCAAAATTAGACAAATACCTAGAGAAAAAATAGTATTTATTTATGTTTAATCATAGCCACCGTTAGAGCTGCTGATGTGTCATTTGTCAACTATAATCACCGTCTACTGCAACTATATTCTACAAGAGTCGCTTCTAGCAAAAAATTTAGTCTACCACCATAACCATTAAAGAATAATTATGAACGAAATATTTGATAATAAAGGATTAGATCCAAAAAACTTTCTATTATAAATGACCAATCATAAAATTTACTCTTTTTTGTTGAAAAAATATAGCTAAATAAAATTAAAGCAAAACTTATACAAAATATAAGATACTCAGTATTATATTTTATTTTTTGATTTGGATTATTCGTACTATAAAATATTAAAACTAAACGCTCGCTATGAAACATTAGTTCTTGAAAATAATAGAAAACTAAAAAAAGAAAATAAGAACACAAAATTTATTGAATTAGTGAAAGAAAATTTAAATCCTTTTTTATTTTTGTGAGAAAAATAAGAAAAAACATTTGTTTTTCGTTCTTCCTACTCTTAATATTTGTGGAATCAAACAAAATGTTAAATATTGGACCAAATTCTGAAGTACATTGTGAAGAATTACAGGCCGAGAAAAGTTTTCGGCGATGGCGGATTATTGCTCCGTCCTCTTCATCCGTTCGATTCTTCAAACAGGAAAAATAGCTGAAAATTTTTCGATCTTTTTTCTCTTCGAATTCAATCCAAAATTTAATTCAGATCTGTTCCTATCGATCTCATCTCGAAGCTCAGATCGCTATATGCCTGCGATCCCGCGCGAGCCGCTAGCTACCGCCGCCGCCGCCACCGGAGCGTCGTCTATTCCTCCTTCGCTGCCGCCGTGTTCCGCCGCCGTAGGAGGAGGAGGAATCGCCGGGAATGGGTGAGAACGGGTTTACGCCGTCGCGATACGTACAGGTACCGGGCCAGACGAGCGACCATTGTGCGGCCCAAATACTGCTGCACTCGCCGGGACTATGGGGGGACGGATCGGATATGTACCAGTACAGGTTCTTCACGTACGCCCTACCCCGTTTGCTCCTCCAGATCTCCGTCGTCTTCCTCCTCACCCACACCCTCTATCTGCTCCTCAAGCGCTTCCGCCTCCCCCGCATCGTCTCCGAGCTTCTGGTAAACGATTAATCTATCCGCCGGAGTAAATCGATTTAGTATTAAAAGATGTTAGAATTTGTGGGTGAAATTATTATTAATGGCAGGCCGGAATCATATTGGGGCCAACGGTGCTGGGCAAATTCAAGTTCACACAAACCTACGTGTTCAGACTGGAAGGAGAAGTCTACGTTGACCTCCTCTCCAAGATCGGTTACATCTTCTTCATCTTCCTCAGCGGCGTCAAGATGGACCCCGGGATGATCACCCGAACCGGGTCCAAGGCGTGGACCATCGGCGCGGTGGCGGTTCTCGTCCCCTACACCGCCTTCCTCAGCTTCAGCGAGAACATCATTCAGAGCTACCCTCAGATCCACCGCTACCGGTGGGCGGCCTTCAGTAGCATTCTCCGCATTCAGAGCATTTACGCGTTCCCCGTCATCGCCTTCCTCCTCGTCGACCTCAAGATCATGAACACCGAGCTCGGCCGCCTCGCTCTCGCGACCGGGCTCATCGCGGATTTGCTCAGTAACCTCATCTCCGCCTTGATTGCTAATATCAAGATGGGGACCATGGCGGCAATGCCGATCTTGTCCGTTCATTCCTTTGTATTGACTCTCGGGCTGGTCTCGCTTTTCGTGTTGACCATTCGCCCGCTGTCGTCGTTGATCATCCGACGTACGCCGGAAGGAAAGCCGGTGGACGGGGTCTACGTCATCGTTATTTCGTTCCTGGTGTTCTGTTCGTCGATTCTGACGGACAATGCCGGGATGAATTTCCAGTACGGTCCCTTTATACTCGGGCTGGCGATCCCCGACGGGCCACCGCTCGGGTCGACACTGGTGGAGAAGCTCGAAACCATTGTCTCCGGACTTCTGGCGCCGTTGATGGTGACGTACTGCGGAACGAAAGTAAATCTCCTCGACGTATATGACCTCCAGATTATTTTTCAGGTGTGGATCGCAATTTTGTCATGTTACGTCATAAAGTACCTGTCGATCTTCTCGCCGGCGATGATATGCAAGGTCCCCGTGAAAGACGCTGCCGCCCTGGCGTTCGTCTTGAGCACCCAGGGGGTGGTGCAGATGTCGTTTTACCTGAACAACATCATAAACCAGACGTACGATGTGGAGACGTTTTCGACGTTGACGTTGGGTGTGATGATCACGGCAGCGGTGGCACACGTCCTGGTGGCGTCGTTGTACGACTACACCAGGACGTATACTGGCTACCAGAAGAGAGACATCCAACACGTCACCGGGAACTCCGAGCTGAGGATGATGGTCTGCAGCCACCGGCTAGACGACGTGGCGGCGGCAAAGAAGGTTTTGGAGATTTCTGGCTCTTATCGCGAGAGTCCGCTATCGATCTATGCATTGTTCCTGGTGGAGCTTGTCGGTCGGGCCACGCCATTGCTGATTGACCACCAGTTGGGCCAGAAGAGCAGCTTGTCGAACCTCAGCCGAACGCAGAAGATGGCAGACGCGCTGAGGTTGTTCGAGCAGCAGGACGCAAGCCGGACGACGAGCGTCCAGTTCTTCACGACGATATCCCTCCAGAAGTTCATGCACCACGACATATGCTCCCTCGCGTTCGACAAGCTCGCCTCCATGATCGTCCTCCCGTTCCACCGGAAGTGGAACTACCAAGGGAAGCTGGTGCAAGAGAACAACGGAGTGAGGGTGATGAACAGCTCGGTGCTCGACATGGCGCCCTGCTCTGTCGGCATCGTGATAGACCGCCACAAGATGAAGAGAGGCTCCGAAGCTGTCGGGGCCCCGTTCGAACACGTGGCGGTCATATTCCTTGGGGGAGCCGACGACCGCGAGGCGCTGTCTTACGGTCGTCGAATGTCGCGGTCACCGGCTGTCTGCCTGACCGTGGTGCGGTTCGTTCCGTTGGACCCGGACGCGGTGGACAGCCAGTGGGACGCGGTGCTCGACGCGGAACTCTTAAAGGAGGCACGGCAGGTGGGGCAACACCAGGACAACGTGGTGTACAGGGAGGAGCGGGTGAGGGATGGGGCGGAGACGGCGGTGACGATACACGACATGGAGGAGGTGTTCGACCTCATCTTGGTGGGGAGGAGACACAAGGAGGACTTGCCGCAGCTGCTGGGGCTGAGTGAGTGGAATGACATACCGGAGCTGGGGCTCATCGGAGACATGCTCGCCGCGCCGGAGATCACATCTCCGGTCTCCGTGCTGGTGGTGCAACAACAGTATACCAAGGGCAAATGATTGGCTTGGCGACATATACGAACGTAGGACTGTGTAGGAGTTTGTGAAGATTTTTTCATTTTTTAATTTTTTAATTTTTTACTCTTATGTACTTTAAAATTGACATTTTCTTTCTTTATGTTCCACACATTCACTTTGTAATGCATAAAGTATATTTGTTCCTCGTCTTGTTCCTTTTCATTCGGGCATGTAATTAGAATATATTTAGATAAATGAAAAAAAAATTATGAACCACATACCTCATTCCGCCTTTAAATAAATTTAAGAAAATAATAGCCATTATTCACATGTCAAATTACACATTCTTT